GGAGGCAGTATGACCTCTGAAACGTTGGTAAACATCTACCAGACTACACAGCGCAACAACCCAGAAGACAGAAATTTTCATACTCTGATGATGGAGGCAGTATGACCTCAGAAACGTTGGTTAACATCGACCAGACTACACAGCGCAACAACCAAGAAGACAGAAATCTTCATACTCACCGCCCTGATGACGGAGGCAGTATGACCTCTGAAACGTTGATTAACATCGACCAGTCTACACAGCGCAACAACCCAGAAGACAGAAATCTTCATACTCACCGCTGTGAAAACCTCAAATCTTACATTTGACCATTTCTTTGTTTGTCTTCCAAGGCTTCTGTTTCCTCACAGATGTTATTGCCAAGCTTGTTTAGATACTCAACGGTCATCTTTGTATTCTTCACAGATGCTGCAACCAGTTATTTATGATTTTTTTTATTTAATATAAAACATTAAATATTTTCTTAATCTTTATGTTCTGTAGATGATCTGTATGTGCATATTCAGCTACTTCAAGAAGATATTCCATCCCTGCTGCCTGTATGTTTGTCTCATATTTTCTTCCATGTTTCACTTCCATACATGGATTTTGGTACTATCATTACATAACACTATAGGAGGAACTCGGGTAACTTGTAAAGTTTCATTAATCTAAAATACATGTTTCTTTACAGATATATATGACATGATTCTGCGACATTACAATCTTCTACACGACAAGGACTACTTGAAGCACAACCTGACTAGAGCAACTTTGAAATTCAGTGGTAAGTAAACAGAAGTGCAAAGTCTTATTTCAAACAAATCAGCAGGCTGCTTCCCCAGTTTGAACTTTGTTCATGGCATTCCCTCTCAGCAGTTCGTACAGGTGACCTGATATCATGGGTAGTTTTGCATAGCGTTTCTCAAATTTTGGGGCTTGCTCCACCAGTGGGGTATGAAGAAATTTTAAATGGGGGCGAAATAGTCTTTCGGATGATGTATGAAGTTCTCATGGTGGCCTTCTGCAGTTCCCTGATGTCGAGTTTGCCCCTGTTTATATTAGCCTGTAATGGCATAACCACCATACAAAATGGATGAAATTACAATCAGCCATTATACGATACGACCTCCCAGGATCATTACAGTTATAAGATGGGGGAGAAAGACATGGATAAGCCCACTTATGCTAAAGAGTAAAGAATGAAGGACAATGCAAGACAAGAAGCACAACGAGTAAATTAATAAAGTAGAAATAATTACGAAATACCACAACATCCCTAACTCAATTTTCTTTCATTTCACTAAATGTGTAGGAGAAAACTGGTTTTTTGGATGTGATGGTATTCAATGAACATCAAAGACTTGAAATCATCATAATCATCAACATCAGCTATATATAGTCTTGATTCATTTTGCTCCATTGTGGCTCATGAATATCATTTGAAGATTTCTGTCTTCTGGGTTGTTGCGCCGTGTAGTCTGGTCGATGTTAACCAACGTTTCTGAGGTCATACTGCCTCCGTCATCAGGGCGGTGAGTATGAAGATTTCCGTCTTCTGGGTTGTTGCGCCGTGTAGTCTGGTCGATGTTAACCAACGTTTCTGAGGTCATACTGCCTCCGTCATCAGGGCGGTGAGTATGAAGATTTCCGTCTTCTGGGTTGTTGCGCCGTGTAGTCTGGTCGATGTTAACCAACGTTTCTGAGGTCATACTGCCTCCGTCATCAGGGCGGTGAGTATGAAGATTTCCGTCTTCTGGGTTGTTGCGCCGTGTAGTCTGGTCGATGTTAACCAACGTTTCTGAGGTCATACTGCCTCCGTCATCAGGGCGGTGAGTATGAAGATTTCCGTCTTCTGGGTTGTTGCGCCGTGTAGTCTGGTCGATGTTAACCAACGTTTCTGAGGTCATACTGCCTCCGTCATCAGGGCGGTGAGTATGAAGATTTCCGTCTTCTGGGTTGTTGCGCCGTGTAGTCTGGTCGATGTTAACCAACGTTTCTGAGGTCATACTGCCTCCGTCATCAGGGCGGTGAGTATGAAGATTTCCGTCTTCTGGGTTGTTGCGCCGTGTAGTCTGGTCGATGTTAACCAACGTTTCTGAGGTCATACTGCCTCCGTCATCAGGGCGGTGAGTATGAAGATTTCCGTCTTCTGGGTTGTTGCGCCGTGTAGTCTGGTCGATGTTAACCAACGTTTCTGAGGTCATACTGCCTCCGTCATCAGGGCGGTGAGTATGAAGATTTCCGTCTTCTGGGTTGTTGCGCCGTGTAGTCTGGTCGATGTTAACCAACGTTTCTGAGGTCATACTGCCTCCGTCATCAGGGCGGTGAGTATGAAGATTTCCGTCTTCTGGGTTGTTGCGCCGTGTAGTCTGGTCGATGTTAACCAACGTTTCTGAGGTCATACTGCCTCCGTCATCAGGGCGGTGAGTATGAAGATTTCCGTCTTCTGGGTTGTTGCGCCGTGTAGTCTGGTCGATGTTAACCAACGTTTCTGAGGTCATACTGCCTCCGTCATCAGGGCGGTGAGTATGAAGATTTCCGTCTTCTGGGTTGTTGCGCCGTGTAGTCTGGTCGATGTTAACCAACGTTTCTGAGGTCATACTGCCTCCGTCATCAGGGCGGTGAGTATGAAGATTTCCGTCTTCTGGGTTGTTGCGCCGTGTAGTCTGGTCGATGTTAACCAACGTTTCTGAGGTCATACTGCCTCCTTCATCAGGGCGATGACCCATACAAAACAACAGGCAAGATTATTGTTTTGTATACTTTAATTTTCAGGTTCTTAGAAATCAGACGGGAAGACAAAATATTTTGAACTGAGAAGTAGCAAGCATTTCCAGAATTTAATCTCCTCCAAACTTCCTCATGAGTGTCATTTTCATTTGTTATTGTTGTTCCCTGATATTTGAACTTTGTAACCCTTTCAAAGGACTTATTAGCCACCCTAAGATAATTTTGCCCGCCTGTCTGCTGATGACGAGATACTAACATGTACTTAGTTTTTTATGAATTTACTTCCAGCCCCACCTGTCTACTAGCCTCTAGTAAAACTTCTGTGTTCCTCTTTATTGTATTTATATCGTCCCGCAATAAATTAACATCATCAGCATATGCCAATAGCTGATGTGTCCCATTCAATTGCAAACCCTCCTGCCTACCTTGGTAATACATATTTTTATTCACAAGATAAGTTGAAATACAGTTTTCTCAATCCTAGTTCCTGCTTGAGAAAATAATTCATTACCTCCAATGGATTTCACCTCTCATTTGATTGTGTTTGTTAGCAGAGTTTAGGAAGAGTTTGTTCTGTCCTGTCCCGCCATTCCGGTTTTTAAGAAAAATATCAAATTACTTCTTTTTTTTTTCAGAAGTAAGAGGGTTAATCTTCTATTCTGGTCACTGACACACCCATTTGTCCCCTTCCTTTGTAAACTTGGTCTGATTTCATGAGTTTCCAACCCAAAAGGTCGGTCATAGTAGTCCGTGAAATGTGACAACACTGCGGATTGTAGTAATTCTTACTGCTACTTTCTTAGTAAATTAAGTGTTGTTGAATCAAATTAGGAGTTACTGTGCTTCGTTATCGATTCAGTTGTTATATCCAAACATCATAATGGATGAATGAATGATTTGAAGCTGCTTTATGAAGAAAGGCAGGCACACCCTTCTCGTTAACAAGGTAATCACATTATTTTTGTTTTTAGTTATACCAAGATAGACTATTCCTCTCATCTTTTTAAGAGATACTTTTAAGTGTAGCAACTTGATGATTCTATATTATTAATTTTAAAACCTTTAATTTTGAATGTATGAAAGAAAGTACTGATAACTTGTGGTTATGTCCGAGTGGGACATGAGTTAGAAGTTTGAGAAACACTGGTCTAGCATTCTTAGCATCTTCAGTCCTGTAGGCCATCTCTTTAATTAGAACCCATAAAAAGAAATCAGGCAGAGTTAAGTACAGAGATCTTGGCAGCCCAGTTAATGGATTACAATGAATAATCCAATCATTTTTGTAATGCTTATTCAGGTAAGCAATTTCTTGATTAGTGCTGCTGTTAAAGTACATATTTGTAGCTCCACAATGGTTGGAAATAGGACCAATGTTGCATAAATATTTTTTTTTTACTCAAAATTACTTGGCAAACTGGTTTTGAAATAGTCTTTCGCCTGTATTAAGGAAACCATGAATACAGATAAGCCACTATTAAATAAGTGTGATATGATATCATTATTTAGGATTTGAGGTTTTCACAGCGGTGAGTATGAAGATTTCCGTCTTCTGGGTTGTTGCGCTGTGTAGTCTGGTCGATGTTAACCAACGTTTCAGAGGTCATACTGCCTCCGTCATCAGAGTATGAAGATTTCCGTCTTCTGGGTTGTTGCACTGTGTAGTCTGGAAGATGTCCACCAACGTTTCAGAGGTCATACTGCCTCCGTCATCAGAGTATGAAGATTTCCGTCTTCTGGGTTGTTGCGCTGTGTAATCTGGTCGATGTTAACCAACGTTTCAGAGGTCATACTGCCTCCGTCATCAGGGCGATGAATATTCGATATCATTATTGTTTGTAAATACGTCCTTTAAGCAATAAAATATTCTTCACCAACAAGCCACATCAAAATGGAATCAGGTCACCCGAGAAGATTTTATTGCATTTAGTCGCCACAAAAGCCTCAAGTCTTATATACTTCCTTTCTTGTTTTGTTCATTGTTTGGATAGAAAGAATAATGTTTTGGGGGCTGGCTGCCTTCAATATCAGAGCAGTTACCTTCCTTTTCTTATATGAATTTGAAAACATACTCAGCCTCTGAAAAATCATGTTTTCTTTTACCTGGACACACCTAAATAAAATTCTCCTGCAATGATAGATTGCATTTTCTTAAAATTATGATATTATTCATATTTAATGATGTTATTTTATGTTGTTATATCATATATTATACTAAATTATATTATATAATGTTATATCATTGTCTTATGTTATGCCATATTACATATCAGATCATGGCATTGCATTTGAGCTTGAGAAATAAATGTTTAAAAATGTAAATTTGGAAAGTATAAATGGATTAACAGTATGTTATGCAAGATTATAAGTTTTGCACCACATCCTGCTCTGTAACAGGTCTCAATAAAAGTTTGAAGAACAGAATGCCTGAAATCTTAACTTCTGGCATTCCGTCCTTCATTAGCATTTACATTTACTCTTGTAGGAATTGAAGACCCAACTGGCATGGTGTCAGACCTTCTAAATGAGAAATACTTCCACCCTGATAAAATAGGCGACTTCAAAGCCATGACACCTGGACTCATTGACGTAAGTATGATGTCACACTCGACAGGGAACAGTGACAAAGTTTACAAAAGGATTGTGGTTAGTCTGTTATTTCTATTCCTGCATATGTTGGCAGCAGAAGCAGATCTCTCCAAAACTGGATCACTATGTTTTTATAGAGTATCACAGTAGGGGTTCTCAACTGCAGGTCCACACTTCATGGCACTTGGATGTATGTCAGTGAGCCCATTTCCAGAATGCAACATGTCAATATTTGTACACCCTTGATGCAGGCAAAATCATGTTTCTAGTAATTATATTAGGATACAATCTTAATATACAAAATAGATTTGAACAGTCCTATGAAGCTATAAAATTCACATTACATAAGAAGATAAACCCCTTATCAAACTTGCATAACATTTTAAGTGATTTTAAATGAATTTAAATGTTGGAAGTTAATTGAAGGACAAAGGTAAGACTAGATATGGGAGAAATGTGTTTCTTCAGAGCAGTCATTAGATTCAGGATTAGGATATAATGAAGAACTGGAAATAACATATATCATTTTCTATCAACACAAAGCAACGTGGAGAAGATACTTGGGCATCCAACAAGAAGATGCTATTGTTTGCCCTTATAACCAGAAGCAACGTGGAGAAGATACTTGGGCATTCAACAAGAAGATGTTATTGTTTGCCCTTATAACCACAAAAGGTCAGAATGATTTTAATATTCAGTAACATCACTGATATTCAGTTCTATAATTCCGCACAGTTATTTGTCCTGTTAGTACATTACACAATATTTTAACATTGTTACTACTATGATTATTACTATAACTACTTTCTGTTTTTAGGTGTTCTTCATGCTCTAGCATGAATGAAGAACACCATAGTGTCCAGTCTATCACATTTTTTCCTAAGACACAGGCAACCCATATTACCAGGGGTCATTGTGCAACAGTGGGAAGTGTTCAAACATATTCAACAGTGACATCAGATCACAGCGCAACGATGATGTTGTGATGTGGCATGAAGAATACCTTTGGCATGTCAGTGTACTCCAAAGAGTACTGATTTCCAATCTTATTCTACTTTGATGTTCTTTATGCTTTAGCTCAAGCCAAGAATGTCTTATGCCTGTCCATGTCTGTCTGTCTGTCACATCTTTCAGATGTCCCCACTGAGTATGCCCCCTTCGAACTATGCAACCCCAAAGGGCTTCCTGAATGTGTGAAGCAATACTAGGGGCTTTCACTCCCATAATTCTTACCCTGATGGGGCATCTGACCCAGGGTTTGTCCTGATAAGGATCTTTCTCGCCACGCCTTTGCTTAATTAGTCAATGCATGCCTTCAGCACTTTGCCGACAAGGTGTCCTTGTAGCTTGGCCACACAAGGGCCTTGCCCTTCCCCTTGGCTTTACCCCAGTTTATCCACTTCCAAAGTTTGTTACAAGTTGGCCTTCTATAAGGTCAATTCACCTATGGGCTTGTAACCTGCCACCAAGGCGTTGTCAAGCCAAGTATTCTGTCGTATGCCTTTCCCTCTCACTGGGCTCGGAGATCAACACTTCGCCAGATTAAACAGTCCAGGTATTTTCATACCCTGCCTGCCACACAGAGTCTTGGTCAGCCAAGGAGCTAGACCACCTCAGGGGCTTGCACCTACTGAGGATGCTCCAAACTTGCTTCTAACAAGGCAAAACCCATGGTCTTTAGCTCACAGATCTTACGTCACCACGCTTGCTTCCCACAACTTGACTTTCTACATTTGATATTCTCAGAGCTTATCCCCCTTAACCTACCAAACCACGGCTTTGCCACCACTTAGCTTGGACACCTCTGTACTGCCCCATTTCAGACCAACCTGGGGTTGCAACCCCTGGGATTTTAACCCAAGGGAATTGGGCAACCATGGTGCTAAACCACATCCAGACTTGCATTTTCTAGGAACATTTCCAGGCTTTTCAACCAAATTACCCCCCTACCAGGCTTGCCACCCCTAATTCTTACCAACCAAGCCTTTAGTCAAAATGCTTACTTCAGGGCATTATCCATCAGACTTCATCCCATAGTCTTGGCCTATCTCAGGCTTTCCCCTTATATTTTATTTTCTGTCATTTCAATGTCTCTGTCATGCCTTTCAGTGGTTATTACACACTGCCACCTACAGAATGTCCCAAAAACATATATATACGCATTATAGTTCAAAATATTATCCTTTTTATCGATCTTCATGTGTGTTTACAAGGGGAACCTAATGTGGTCTGCGCTTAAGAAATGGCACCACAAATCTTTTAACATGATTCACATTTTCAAAATGACAGAGGAATGACTGAATTTCGGACAACACAAATTAATTTTGAATCAGTACCAAAAATTTGAGAATGTACTTGAAGTGAAAAGATGGTGAACATGTGAACTTGAAACTATGCCTCCAACATGATTTAAAGTTACAAGAATTCAAGACAAATTATAAATGTAGAGCACTGTGAATGACACGTGTAAGCAACAATATGGAGGAGGATCATGCATGACAACCGAAGACACTTCTGCTATGGTGCTACAGCAGTTCATATGTTCACCTAAATAATCTCTATTGAGATTGGGATTTCTGAGTCAAGCATACACCGGATTCTCAAAATAGTGAAGTGGAAATGCTACGTGCCAAGGTTACTGCATGCAGTGATTGAAGACAATCTTCACTGCAGTCTTGACTTTTATGAATGGTTTCAGAGGAACGTGGGTGAGAATGTAAAGTTTCTGGGGGAAGACTGTTTGGACTGATGAGGTGACATAATTGTGTATACTGGTCTTGTAAAAATCTGAACGTTCAAGTCAACCAGGACTTCCATTCTGGTGTGATGTCACAGAGAGGTATTGTGGGACCATTCCTCTTTGTAGGGACAGTGACTGGTGCTGCATACCCCATCATCTTTCAAGAATCCAAGAATTAGCCAGCAACATCAAGCCTCAGAAATTTCACTAGGCAGATTTTAAAAACCACAGTATAAAATTTTAAGTGTCTTTTACTTTAAAAAAAGGTAATTGGACTTTTAATGTTTCTTTCAGTTTTTATCTCTTAAAAATATTATGGTTATAAACAGTTTGTGCCAAAATAAAATGTTTAAACTGTAATGATTTCAAATAAATATAATTATGTACATATAATAAATATACCCATGCACCTTTTATCTCATTTTCTTATCTCCTAGTAATGTGGCGTACATTAGGAGGTCAGATGTTGAATACATCCTCCCAGTGCAGAAGAGGTCGCTGATCACCTGCTCTAAAGTACTGGTAGATTGTAACCACATTCTCCTCTGTCCAGGGCACCATAAATAATTATTTCTAATCACATTCAGAACTACAGAACTTATATCAATTAATAAATTAATAAACTAACTCCGCAGTACATACTTCTCCTCAGATGACTAGTATCTGATGAAGAAATTCCATGCTTTATGAAACCCAAAATTTTATTATAGATTTTGTAAAGATCCACTATTTTACCCTACACTGGAGCACTATGATTAAGAAAACACTTTGTATACAGTAGTACGTCTGTAAGAGCCATTTTAATATGTCACTCAGATTGCGCTAATTCAGCCTAAATGATCTGTGGACTTATATCTCCCATACATACACATCATGCCTCTAAAAATAATAAGTTATAACAGTCAGTAACCAAAAGTTGTGTTATTCATATATTCCGCAGATCTGTGGTGTTGCATTGCTGAAGGCTGCAACATTTCGGTCAGTGCTGGAGAACTCGCGGCAACAGCCCAGTTATCTTTACTCTTTCAACTACTATGGGGAACATACCAAGTTTGGCTATGGAGAAGACACTGATTATCCTTTTCCTGGAGGTGCGTTTAGTGGAAACTGATATTAGATTAATTCTGCGCCAATTGGCAGAAATTCTCTCCAAAACATGGAAATTAACTACAAAATAAGAGTCATGGTGAACAGTGGTTAAGTTGTGGTATTCCATAACGGAAAATGGGTGCCAGGTTAAATGTCCATCATAAGGAAAATTTCTTCAAAACATGCACAAGGATGTCAGATTCAGAAGAATTCTTCAGAAGACTTTGACATGAGCATGACATTGAAGATGTTATTGAGATATTTTTATAAAATATTTATTTATTTTTACAGTGAAAGTGTAGTAATAGAAATGTAAACGGATTTTAACCGCTACAGTTATAAGTTATTGTGGTAATGAAATCTCATGGGAGGGCAATGACAGGAAAAACATTTTAAACTTAAACATAGGTAAACTGGAATATAAAATTGTGCATACAAACAAAACTGTTTACACATTAAATAACACTTTGTGCCAAACGCGTTTCGACTTCAAGAGGTCATCATCAGTTTTGTTTGTAAGCATGATTTTACATATCAATACACTGTATGGTATGCAAGGTTCTAAGATAGGTAAATAGTGTTTGGTAACGTTGAATGGAATTACTTGGCCTGGAATAGTGCTCAGTGACGGGATAATGTTGCCAGCAGCGTTGAACATTTATCAGTAGGATTAGTTTCATATTTAGTTTTCCAGTAACAGTGGATGCATGGTACAGAGTTTGGCCACTCAAAAACTGGGTTCACGGATTGGAATCTCACTCTGCCAATGTTTTCTGTGTTTAAAAATGTCTTGTGATTGGCTGGCTTTCCTTCTATCCGAAGAGACTCTTCAGATCTCTAAATTAGGCTTTGAAACCTAAAAATTTTCTAGAAAGCCAATGCTTGACACCTTGAAGAAGAATTCAGTTGCTAACCCTCTTAATCAATTATTCATTGGATTTAGTAATCAAAATACATGCTGGAATATTAACATTAGTAAAAAGTGCTAAGTAAATAATTAGGTAACCTACGTTATCTGTGCAATAACATCATATCAGATATATGATCAGATTGTGACGAAAACTAACATTCAAATCAAGATTTGAGAAAATATTCAGCCGCAACTTCACGTTTCCATGACACACTGCTAACTCAGGGTTAGCTTAACTTAGTAATGCTTGCCTTCGTTACATATTTATTTTAAAGTCAGCTACCATTAAATAAATATACTTTTAATCCCATGTTTATTTGTCAGCAGGCGTGGCTCACTCTGATGACCTAATCTACCTGTTTCCACAGCCTGACGCTGTACTCAACAAAGAAGATAGAGTCATCTCACGTACAATGGTAGATCTGTGGACTAATTTTGCCACATACACGTATGTACATTTTTTAGTGCCTTCCTTTATTTCAGAATGTATGAGGTTCAAGGATTATGAAGTTAATTAGCAGCTTTTTAATACAGCAGAAAGTAAATAATTAAAAGTAATTTTAGTTTAACCCAAAATTGATGTAGACAACACTGAATAAGATGGAGAATATAAACAGCACAAGTACGAACTTTCCTTCTTTGAATCCGGTTGTCTTTTATCTCTACTGATTAGTGATAATACTGTGATGGGCGCTCGACTGTGACGAGATTTTGGAATAAAAATTAGTGCGGCATTTCTGACAGGTTTAAAAGTTTACTATCACTCTAATTTCATATTAATTTTTTATTTTATTCACATTCTCAATCAGATTGTAAACCTGCTACGAAACTATTTCCTTAGATGCAATGGAATTCTTTTATTGACCCAATTATAAGTTTATAATTTAGAGATGAAGATATCAGTCTTCTGGGTTGTTGCACTGTATAGTCTGGTCGATGTTAACCAACATTTCAGAGGTCATACTGCCTCCGTCATCAGGGCGATGAGTATGAAGATTTCTGTCTTCTGGGTTGTTGCGCTGTGTAGTCTGGTCGATGTTTACCAAACGTTTCAGAGGTCATACTGCCTCCGTCATCAGGGCGATGAACCTCAAGTCTTACATTTATAATTTAGAGTTTATTTATAAGGGCCACTGTCCAACTGATTGGCATATAACAAAAATGAATCTCTTGAAAGGTAAATTTATAAGTGCGTAAGATAGATGGTGTAATTTCATAATTATAATTTCAAAGAGATACATAATTCATCAATGTTGTCTTGATATAAATTTAAAATTTTAAAATGAAGTATAAAATATGCAGACAGACAAAACTGTTTACACTTTGAAGGACGCTAATGTCAAACATGTTTCGACTTCAAGAGGTCATCATCAGTGGCAAAGAAAACATACTTATGTAACACCTCACTGGACGTTGATTGCACCAGGAGTTGGTGTATTAAATTGGGCACTCTCCGAGCCACACATTCAACACCCTTGAAAATGAGGACAGGGATGGCCCTCGAAACGTCGGCGACCGATCACCAACTAACACGGCTGATAACCCGAGAAGACCTTATTAATGAAAGCCGCCGTGAAAGCTTAACATTATATATCAGTAGATAACTTACTGATAAATTATAATGACTTCTTTTCTGTTTCCAGTGATCCTGCACCAGCTGATTATGTACCATCTTGGCCTCCAGTGCGTACAGAGACAGGGCCATATCTTAGGATTGACAGGATATCAGAAGTTCGAAAGAATTTCCTTGAGGAGTACACAATAGCGATGACAGAAGGTCTAGGTCCTTCCAAGGCAGCACTGAAAAGAACATCAATTCTGACATTATTTTTGTGGTTTGTCATAACACTACAGGTCCAATAAACTCTGTAATTTATATCCTCAACTTGTAATTGACCCTAAAGCATTTCTAATATGTAAAATTGCAAGTGATCACTCAGGCATTCTAACACACAAATTATGGAAACGTAACCAGAGTTCTTTACTTTTTTTGGGGGGGGGGGGCACGTCTACGCTTTGCAAGTCAGTATAGGGTAAAGTCGTGTGTGACGCCCCATCGGTAGAGATGCCCCGGTTTCGATATATCAAAGTCTATGCGCGGGAGAAGCCATTGTAGCTCATTATGGCATTCAGTGTGTTGCTGTTGCCTGGAGGAAGTAGTTATGCAATTGTTCTTTTGCATATTTCAAGCAGAATACAAACTTATATCTGTTACCTGTCATTGCCGAGGGTGAACATTTTCCCGTTCGTGAAGTCAGTTAGTGAAAGCGAAGGCAAGTGAATAAGTTACATGTTCCTTTCTCACAGTTTACCATTTTCTTGGCGATATCAACTGGGGCCTCCCACCTGACACTTTGGGTGAGATGCCCCACATTATTGCGGATGAGTTGCCCTGCACCTCTCTGTGTTAACTGTGTAGGAACTGCGAAAAGGAATTAACGCCTTACCTGGAGGTCACGTCCGTCTGTCTACTTCGTTACCATGTAGTTGTCTTACATTCAGAGCTGCTTGGAATTGGATGACGTCCAACGGACAGCGAAAAATAACCAGACTGCAATTCGGACAACTTCTTGCTAAAACTTGGGGAAGATCAGAACCACTGGTGACGGCGTAACAGGGTTTAAAGCCACAGGAATACATCCATTTGACCCGTCAGCTATCCCGGAACATGCATTTTTCATGTCTGAAAGACATGTTAATAATGAAGCCGGGCAACTTCAGTCCGAAACAGACTTCCCCCATACACCTTCGACTTCAGACGAGCGTGCAGAACTAGAAAGCCACGAATCATGCGCATGCGAAGTGAATGAAATTGTAAACACATCACGTATAATCCTTCTGAAGATATTTCCAATACCTGAAAGTCCTCAGAGGAAGAATTCGAAGTGGAAGCAGTCAGCTATAGTATTTATAGTAGTTATATTTTTTTTCCAAAATGTGGGTCATCTCATCCGAGTTTAACCTATAAGTTACATATAAGAAACATGGTTACAGCCCAGTTTTAGTACCGTGAAACATCTTGTACGTCATGTTCATTCTTAAATGACTATGTCATTGTCAAACCCATTTGTTATTAACATTTAGCCCCCCTGAACACGAATCAAACCTCTGGGGAATGTTACGCATAGACATAAGTCGAGCTTTAAGAGGTTATGTCTGCTGCTACATTACCGACCGACATGAATTTGTTCCAATTGTTACAAACTGCAATCCTTATAAATAAACTGGTGTGTTTCTGCACATCACTGAAACGATATTTAGAGTCGGATATTGGATAGTTTCAATACTCACTCTGATAAGGTTATGTTCGACAAAGTTCTGCGTTCATAATTACAAATCTCATTTTTGGCATTTTCAGAGCGTGAAAAAGACTAATCTGGATTTTCTTTTATAAGCATCCTCCGACTTTGTAGTTCGTCGGAGACAGCAAAGACATTTGAAACGTTCGTAATCGCTTACCAGACTACAAGGCGGCCATATTCGTACTCACTACCGTGAGAATCACAAATTCTACTTATACGACTATAAATGTCCAACAGAACGTATCACAGTGGTTGGGAGATCCATGGACGGACTTTGTGTTGTCACAGAGCATTCACATGCAGGACTACAGAAAACCAAGAAATGTCCCTAGTTACTCGTAAGTTCTTAATGACATTTCATGACGAAAGGGAAGGATAAATGTTTTTCTTCCTGGGAGGAGACAGAGGGACTTCCTCACTCTACAGCATACTTCCAGAATGCAGGTCTAATCGTCTCTCTTTGGCTCCTTTGTGCGTGACGTCAGGAAATCACCGCACAGCGGACTTATGTAAATGACGTCAGATTTGAACACGCTGAAACCTAAAACGCAGTTCCAGACTACAGTCAGTTTGAAATGAAAGAGCACTGATTTAACCTAACAATAGATGGATCGCAGAATAAAGTACCAAGCTGCCCTACACGTGAAGGAAACCTTCAGGGAGACCATCGGCCATTGGGCTCCACAGGCTCTGCCTCGTTTGCATCGGCACGGGGTGTACAAACATGTCATGCATGAAGCAGACGATGTTAGACGGCACTGCACATTTGTGCGTCGCGATGAATGGAGACTGCGTATTCTAACCATACGTTACACTGCAAACGGGCACCAAGACAGCTCTCCTGCTCAAAGTAACAGCTGACACACGGAGGCACTGTCAACAAATACGTACATTTGTACGGCGTTTCGGTGATCCCGATGATGAAGGCAGCATGAACCTCGAAAACGTTGGTAAACTAATACCAGACTACACAGCGCTACAACGCGGAAAATTCCTATCCTTGCCTGGAATCGAAACCCTGCTGTCTAGCCATAAGTCAGCTATATTATATACTTTATTAGACAAAATACATCTGATTTATCGCATTTCTACTCGTGACATATTTCTGTTTCTTGTTTGCAAAGCGCTTCAGTCTGTCATGCAGGCCCGCAGTACGTGCCTTGGGCATGCGCCATGAATCACAAATCGGTTGGTATAACTAACGTTCTGCGAACAAAACTGCTTTTATTTGCGAATTACATTTTAAAGAACACCGAAAACCAGCAGCGTCTTTAAATTGACCACCAAAGAAAAAGGAATGTGTTTGTCTATACTCGTGTAATGGTTTATATGTTGTTTTTCTTGAAAACCATTACGGTGGGTCCTACCAGTGTTGGTAGCGCGGCTTAGATCGGGGAAAGCAAGTTAACATCATAATAGGATGCGGTCGTCAGCTTAAACATATGTCACAGTTGTTAGAGAATTCCTTCCTGGACGCTACAGATTGTTTCCTGAAGCTACACCATTTATTTTCTAGTATTAGCTACTACACTCATGATTTACATTTTTGTTGTAAACCTTGATTCCTAATCTAGGCTACTTCACTTTCAACCAATCAATAACTGGGTTACACAAACTTAGTTCCTTCCAGAACTAAAGCTAAATATATCGATCATTAACTGAGTTCTCTGTACATAATACTGTGTCCTCCTAACACCGGTTACTCTCGGACCACAACTCTAATGTAGCTTAGTGTTAAAGGCGCTATTCTCTTACCATACACAGTCATTCTTATCACTCTGGCCTCCCCAATTCAAATTATGAGGTTAAAACACTTTGTTTGTATTTTCTGCCATCGATCTCATAACCCTACTTTTTATCATTATGTACTGTTATACGCAATATCAGCCTTGATTACCTGTTCATTTCTCCTATCGGTGCAGCTGGTGTCTCCATCTTTGTTTCCAGTGTTGTCCTCAACATTTAATGCACATTACAAGGTCCTCAAATACGACTTTGCCCAATGTGCGTCGTCCAGACAATCACGAAAAATTTCAAATTGCATGTGTGCCTACGTGCAGCCCTGTAGATTACTTCCACTCTAACTCCGTAATGTTTCACAGCAATCTAAGTTACACAGAGTCACACACTCCATCGCCGGCAAACGAAGCCACATAATAACCTAGTTCTACGTTTAAACTCAGCAAGTGGCGACACCTTTCGCATACCGCTCTTACTAAAATATAAACCAAGTACCTTCGTATTTTCTCGTCCGATTGCTCTCGAAAACGTGGACTTCTAAATCTTAAACCTTTTAAACACGTTACATGCACGTAAGGTGATCTTAGCCCGATCGATCGGTCAATTGTACCCCAAGTACTCAAAAAAGGAACGGAGTGTACGAACCTCGCCTAGACGTAGATGGGAGGATAATCTCAGGCGGGATCTATGGGAGATAGGAGTTGATGAAAACTGGATTTTGTTGGCCCAGGACAGGGTCAGGTGGAGGGCTTTAGTTAATTCGTTGATGAACCTTCGGGTTCCGTAAGCCATCTAGTTAGTTATATATTTGGATTCACACGTGGGATATTATTCAGTAGTGGAAAACAGACATAAGGAGCGAACTGGGTAATGACTAAGGCGTTACTTTAAGAAAACTACGTAGGAGAGAATAATTTGGAAAAGGGGATTCATTCATTACAGGCCAGTGACCCCGGACGCCATCAGGATCATGTCTATCAACTAAGTAACTACAGATTTTCTAAAATGTCTGATAAACTCGCTATTATGCACAACCTCGTACGCTGGGCGAAGGTCTCTTCCGCTCCGGCCCCTAACAGACTAATTAAGGCTGTATGAGTGGGTATAAGCAGAAATGCAATGCTGACGTATGTACAGGGTTTGTTTATTAAAATGTCTTCACTGAAGGGCTGTATAAATTGGGACGGTCTGTATATATCAGACTGTATAAAAAAACTCTTATTAAATTACATTTCAGTCACTTTGCTTAAAATTAATGTGTTCGTCGTGGCTGTAACCAAATGTAAACCACGAATTTTCCAAATCCAAAATTTTTTTACGTTTTTCTTCCAACAATTTGTTTCTGTGTTTGTAGGAGTAATCTCTTGCATTCGATAGGTTCTTGATAACACAAGTCGACATCTCGTATCTAGAAAAATTCATATCTGCCGCCTGGTACCTGCAATTTGAAATATTAAAAGTGAAAACAAACCCTCTTTCATCATCCATCAGAATTATTTACACTCTAGACAATTTTTATCACATTTCATGGACCTTGGTTTCAGTGCATTTTCCCTCCGTTCCTGATGGTCCTTAGCCCCTTTTTTACCAATTTCTTATTCCCATGATTTTCAAATCCTCTTCAGCCTCATCTCTACGTCTCTTCATTCTTCATTTATGTCCACCCCATCTGTCAGAGGCTTTATAAATTTTACAATATAATACATCCTCTATCTCCTTATTAGTTTTTTCCAGCCTTCTCCTTCATTTATGGGACCACGGATTTTTGTATTCATCCTTCTTTCAAATATTCTAAGGACCTTTATTTCTTCTGAAGTCATTGCCCAAGAACACTGATATTCCGATTGTCTAAAATCGATATTAAGTCATTTTAAGTATATGTTACGCCACTTCGCATTGTTTTTTTCTTTTTCAAGTAATATGAATTCTGTGTATAATTTTACATTCAGCAAAAGTGAAGCGGTGAAACAAATGCTTAAAATTGCTTCTAATATCCGTTGCAAACGATCAGAATCTCAGTGTCTTACAACAGGGGATGTAGGGAAGGGGGGTCACGGCATTTAAGGGAATGTCGCCATCCGAATTATCTTTCAAACGATTTGAATTTTACGCGCCCTGCTCGCACTGACATCTCTGGTGACATCGTAGAAACAGTCTCGAGCTGTTTTGGCGGTTGGGTTGTCGTCGTTTCTTTGAGGTATAAAGAAAAATCTCATCTCTCTCTTCCATGTTTTAAAGTTAATAGATTGCACCGAAAGTGTAGCTTTGTATTCTTATTCCTTAATTTCAAAGTCTGTTCTTCTGAATCTGCAGTCTTGTAACACA